GTACATGTAATAACTTTACACTTGCTGTATGTTACAGTCCTCATTATGAGCCCCTCCTAAACACCTTTCTATCTAACTTGCATTTTAATTCAACACTTATTTCTTAGCTGCCTTACTTATTTTAATGATCATTTTTTACAATCTGTAATTTTAAGACAATAATGTCTTTTGTATGTTTTATTCGCTATCCTATTGAATTTGCTATTTGGCAAGCTTCTATATTGTCTTACTGTTAAGTTTCCTTTGAACCAAGATTGATTCCCGCTGACTTCATGGACACATTCATGCAGGTTGTGTATCAGGACAATGGTAGTGGTTTGTCACTGTCTTCTTCCAGGGTGTTATAATCTGTGCCGATTGGCCTGGAACCCTAATGGAGGCATGTCATACTTTAATGATCTGAGGAAGGATTCAGCTTTTACAGCATTTGTGCCTTATTCCTTTCCTTGCCATCTTTGTTAACTTTAAAGTTAATTTTAAAGTCAATATTTATGATTTTAATGTTTGATTATTATTTGATAATGGTTGATGTGGTTGGCATATAAATTTAATAAATAATAATCCTATAATTCTTGTGTTTCCTGCACCAGACAATGTTTTGAATTTCATTTGGAAGGTGGAAAAGTGCTAACATGGCATCTGAATGCAACTCATCCATTTTCAGGGCTGCAAAGCAAAGCATAGCCAAAGCACTGCAAAACTGAAATGTTCACCCAATATAAAAAAAACAAAACAAAAATGAGATCACATTTTGAAATCCAGGTCGTGGCCTCACAAAGGTAAATGATGAGATTTAGCATGGAGCAGTGGTTCAGATGTTGTATTCTGGTTGAGAATCCCAGGTCAAATCCATTCTCTGTCAACGGAAGCTCATGATGGGAGCCTCACTCTAAGCTCAGCATAACTGACACAGGTGTTTCTGAGATTTGAAGGAAGAATTTTCTACCTCGTTTGTGCTCCCTTTCTTGCCATCTTCGTTAACGTTCAAGTTATTGTAATATGAATATTTATTATTTTAATGTTTTTTTTCTTTGTTTGATATGGCCGGCATATAACTTTAATAAATAACACTAGTATTTCCTACACCAGAGAATGTTTTGACTTTTATTAGGAAGGTGGAGAAGTGCTAGCATGGAATCTGCCTGCAACTCTATTAAAGTAGCTGATTCTGTTTCCAGCATCGCAAAGCAAACCATATCCAAAGCACTGTAAATCTTAAATGTTCTCGCCCAGTATAAAGAAACAAAAATGAAAGCACATTTTGAAATCCAGGTCGTAGGCTCACAAAGGTAAATAAAGAGAATTAGCATGGAGCAGTGGTTCATAATGTTGAATTCTGGGTGAGATATCCCAGTTCGAATCCTACCTCCATCACGGAAGTTCATGATAGGTGTCTCACTCTAAGCCCAACATAGTTCACAGACATGTTACTGGGAAGATTTGAAGGAACAACCATAATAGTAATAATAGTAGTAGTAGTAATAATAATAATAATAATAATAAAGTTGGAAGGGACCTTGGGGGTCATCTAGTCCAACCCCCTGCTCAGGCAGGAAACCCGATACCATTTCAGACAAATGGCTGTCCAGTCTCTTCTTAAAAACTTCCAGTGTTGGCGCATTCACCGCTTCTGGAGGCAGGTTGTTCCACTGGTTAATTGTTCTCACTGTCAGGAAGTTTCTCCTTAGTTCTAAGTTGCTTCTCTCCTTTAGTTTCCATCCGTTGCTTCTTGTCCTGCCTTCAGGCGCTTTGGAAAATAGCTTGACTCCCTCTTTGTGGCACATGGATGTATTAGAAAATGTGAAATCCTCCAGAAGGGACATCTGAGGGGAACAGAACAACTTCATTAAGCTAGAATCTGAAGATGGATCCTCAGGATTGCAACCAAAGTCTATCTGGCAAGTATCAAACCTGGCTGTGCCAGGAGAGATTACAGGTAGTCCTTGACTTACAACTACAACTGATCCCAAATTTTCCACTGCTAAGCAAGGTAGTTGTAACATGGGTTTTGCTCCATTTTACAACCTTTTCGCCACAGTTGTTAATCACGCAGTCATTAAATGAATCTAGTTTCCCCCCCCATTGATTTTGCTTGTTGGAAGCTGGCTGGGAAGGCTATAAATGGTGATCACATGACCCCAGGAGAGTGCAATTTTGATCACGTGACCCCATGGAGATATTACAACAGTTGTGTGAAAACCAGTCATAAGTCACTTTTTTGGTACCGTTATAGTTTCAAACTCTCACTAAATGAATGGTTGTAAGTTGAGGACTCTCTGTATATACACGCATATTTCTGCTGTATGGGTATTGGGCTGGCTGATTTCATCAGTTCTGGGACTTATGCTATCCTCCCTCGTGAGCTTGTGCTCTCCTCCCAAAATTTAGCAGAGGTGTGACTTGAAAACCCCTTAAAAGAAATTTATTTATTTATTTATTTATTAAATTTATATACCGCCCTATCTCCCTTACGGGACTCAGGGCGGTGAACAGGCGATACTAAAAACCACAATAATAAATAAATAGTTTCTGTGCTAAAATCGAATTGAATAATAGGCCTGTTCTAAAAACACACCCATACAAAACCCCCACTAAAACATAACCAAACTACGCCAGGCCGGCCGCACGGAATAGATGGGCCTTCAGGGCTCGGCGAAAAAGGCGCAGGTCCGCAATTGTACGTAGGTCGGGGGGCAGGTCATTCCAGAGGGCAGGAGCTGCCACAGAGAAGGCTCTCCCCCTGGGGGTCGCCAGCCGGCATTGTCTGGCCGACGGCACTCTAAGAAGGCCCTCTCTGTGGGAGCGGACTGGTCGAAGGGAGGTGCTTGGTAGGAGGCGGTCTTGCAAATACCTAGGTCCATTGCCACGGAGCACTTTAAAAGTTGTTACTAACACCTTGATTGTTTACAGATTGCTGAAGGAAGTGCGGAATGACTAAAAATCAGCATTATTGTTTTAAGGCTTTTCCATCTGGGGAGTCAAAATACTTCTGTAAAAATCACTGGAATATCCTCTCTAATGAAGCAATTTGAACGGGAGTGTAGTACTACTCTTCTATTTTTCCACCTACTTTTGTTGAAAGAAATGCAATCCGCATCAGAATCTGTGTGGCTATAAAACTAGCTCGTGCTTGGCAATTTCCATACATATGGGATCTTGTGCAAAGTGCCTATTTTGAAAGAGTTCTGGATTGGTGACTGGCTTGTCAGTCAGATTTAGTTATAGGCTTTTCCTATTATACCTTTAAGTTCGTCTAACTTCTGATTGACATCTAACGGCTGGTTAAAAATGGCAATAACCGTTTTAGCAGCTAATAGGCAGTTCTTGTCAATCAAATCACATCCACCTTTTAATTTTGTGTGTGTGTGTGTATGTGTGTGTGTGTGTGGTTTTAAAGGCGTCCGCCTCTCTTCCTTCTGTAGAAACTTCATCTTTGGAGGAAGCGAAATTGCCTTCTTCCCAGACAAGAAAAGGAGACTTACTTGCTATATAATTGTGCTGAAATAAATCCTTCAGTTTCAGCTGTCTAGAGCAGTGATGGCGAACCTTTTAGAGACTGAGTGCCCCAAAACTGGCCCCGCCCCCACTCCACCCCCTGCTCCACCCCCCTTCCTCCCCCACCCCGGCCCCCATGACGCCTGCCCGCAGGGTCACTCACCGCCTCCACGGCCCGCCACAGATCGCCCAGGCAGCCCAGCAGTACCATGGCGGCCACACCCTCTGCCCGCGCCCCACAACATCAACTGTGCGCGATGGGGCGTGAAGGCAGAGTCTTGTCTACGCTGCCTGGCTGCCATGTCCTTGTCTGCGCTGCTCCGCGTGGGCCACTCTTGGGGGCAACTCTCCTCCAGGGGGAGTTGCTGGTGAGGGGGGGGTCGTGGGGGGAGGCGAGGCTGGGGAACGGCACGTGTGCCCACAGAGAGGCCTCCGAGTGCCGCCTCTGGCACCCGTGCCAAAGGTTCGCCACCCCTGGTCTAGAGATTGCTGCCACTTTAGAAATGTACAGAATGCTTGGAATTTTCTCTTTGTGGCATTTCAGGCTTGTTTTTCTCTTTGTTTTTTTGTTTTGTTTTGTTTTGTTTTTTTGTCTTATAGCCTTGCTGCCTCCCAACACTGGCAGCCGTCGACTGGCTATTCTTAATTCTAAAGCAAAAATTACTAAAAGCTTAGATAAAAAGCTTAAGCGCTCACTGAAATGCTGTCACTCGATGGCCATGTTGCTCTGTCCTTCCCCTCCCCCTCATATTTCTCCAGGCCATGAGCTCTCTTCTCTTCCAGCCTTGCTGCAACGTTCTGGCTGGCTGCAGAGAAAACGTTTCTCCATGGAGCATGTGGTACTACTGGCCCCTTTTCCATTTAGATATGCACAGAAGCCGCCTCCTCGTACTGGAAACCTGAAAAAGAACAAGGAATTACTATCTGCATGGGCAGAAATTAACAAAAATGATCCTTCCAGGAAGATTCCCAGCTTTAGAGCACAGGGAACATCAGCCAACACCGTCCCTCCAGGATGCACTGGATCAGCTTAATTACGAAGCCTGGAGTTTACAGGAGTTTTGTCCAACAGATTTGGAGTCTGGAGGGCACATGGCTGAGAAAAGCTGGAGTATAAATAATATATATACACACACACATATGCACACAGACCTAAAGCATAAAGTATTCATTTGAAGGCATTTTTCATTCTTGGAACAACTGCACAGCATGTGGTGGTCATATTCTCAACTGCACAGAGGACTAAAAGTCTCGCTTGGTAAGCCTAAATGACACAGTAGTTGAAACATGGCAGCTATTTCTAATTTCTATTATGAGAAAAGATTTCAAAATATCCTCAAGTGGAATCTAGAACCTGAGAGACGACTAGTCAAACCTTCTTAATGACACTTGAAATGCCTCCCAGAAATTGTCCTCAGAACTCTCTGTATATTTTAAATCCGAATTTTACAAGCTGTGAGCGCTTCCTAAATAATAGGTGTTTGGCTATGATACTTGGTTTCCATATATGGGAAGTCCCCGACTTACAACAATTGAGCCCAAAATGTATAACGTTAAGTGAGTTTTGCCCCATTTTACGACCTTTCTGGCCATAGTTGTTAAGTGAATCATTGCAGTTGTTAAGTTAGTAACATGGTTGTTGAGTGAATGTGGCTTCCCTGTTGATTTTGCTTGTCAGAAGGACGCAAAAGCTGTTCACATGATCTCAGCGCACTGCAACCGTGATAAATATGAATCAGTTGTATCTATATTTTGATCAGATGACCACAGGGAGGCTGCAATGGTCATTAAGCGGGAAAAATGGTCATAAGTCACTTTTTTCAGTGTTGCTGTAACTTTGAATGGTCACTAAACAAACTGTTTTAAGTGGAGGACTACCTGTATTTGCTCCTAAGTCACTTTGGATAGAAAAATTGGCAGCATATAAATTAGATGAATAAATGAAATAGCTGTCATTTAGTAATCTGAGCTATTAAATTCTGAGGGAGCCTAAGATTCCTTCACCCAATCCAACTGTCCTGATCTGATCTGATTACTTTTCAAATAAGTATCCTGTTCTAAAGGGAGCTAAACCAACATTTTGAATTAAGGATTTGAATTAGATCAGGGGTGGTTGATACACCAGCAAATACAGTATGTTATGACCAACTGGGCTGTTCCTCCTTGCTACAAAAATATCAAAATTGGCAGGAGAACCATCTGCTCTTGGAGCTGGTGTATCATTTCAGCCATCCTGAACATCTATTCCAGGGGTAGGCAACTTTGGCTCTTTTATGACTCGTGGACTTCAACTCCCAGAATTCCTGAGCCAGCCATGCTGAGGGGAAAGGGAGAGGTTTCCAAGCTGAGCGATGCTGGCTCAGGAATTCTGGGAGTTGAAGTCCGCGAGTCATAAAAGAGCCAAGGTTGCCTACCCCTGATCTAGTCCAGTTGGTCAGCAATGCAGGGACCACCAGATGGACGTACTATTGCCTGAGCAATTTTCTTCTCTTTTCCTCTCCTTTCCATGCCTTATTTTTGGGGAAGAGAACCTTAAGTAAAAATTATCTTAATTTTTATTATTGTTTCAGCCATTCAAACTGAAGTAGGATGTATGCAAATACTTTGAGTAGTTAAATAGCTCTATAAATCCTATAAGCAAAGAAATAAAACCTTACTTACTGATTTTTAAACTCTGTGCCATTGGACCATTTCCAGACCCGGTTAACTTCTCTTGAGAGACCAAACCAGTAATGAGAGGAATGGAGAATATCCACCCAAAAATCCTAGGAGAAGAGAGATAATGTTTAGTAAAATCCTCATTTAAAATACTAATTGGGGAAAGAAAGCGTCGGTTATTTTTCAATGTCTATTGAATGCCAAAATACATCATGAAATAATTGGACTAAAATTAAATGCTGCATAAAGAAAACCAAACTTATGACAACAGGTAGAACCATCAGCCTTAGAACTGACAATGAAGATACTGAAGTGATCAACAATTTCTGCCTTTAAGAGGATCTACTAGCAACAAAGGAACCATCAATCAAGAAATGCACTGCAGACTAGCAATTGGTAGGGCAGCCATGAAAACTCTGGAAAAAATATCAAGACGCTGTGTACACGTCTGCCACTTACAAAGATTCAGAACAGTGCAGACAATGGATTTCCCTCTGTGAAGGATGGATGTTGAAGAAGCAGGATCTAAAAAGATATTGAAGATTTTGAATGTTGAAACTGAAGAAGACTCCTGTGAAAACCATGGATACTTAAGGAATGTGTCATAGAACAAATTCACCCAGAGCTCTTTGTTGAGGTACAAATGACTAGACCAGTGATGGCGAACCTTTTAGAGACCGAGTGCCCAAAAACTGGCCCGCCCCCCGCTCCACCCCCCCGCCCCTGCTCTGCCCCGCCATCCCTGCCCCGCCTACCCACAGGATCACTCACCGTCTCCAGGGCCTGCCACAGATCACCCAGGCAGCCCAGCAGCGCTATGGCGGCCACACACTCTGCCCACGCCCTGCAGCATCAACTGCATGATGGGGTGTGAGGGCAGAGTCTTGTCTACGCTGCCTGGCTGCCATGTCCTTGGCTGCGCTGCTCCGTGTGGGCCACGCTCAGGGGCGACTCTCCTTCAGGGGGGCTGCTGGAGAGGAGGGGGTCGCGGGGGGAAGCAAGGCTGGGGCAACGGCACGGGTGCCCACAGAGAGGGCTCCGAGTGCCGCCTCTGGCACCCGTGCCATAGGTTCGTCACCACTGGACTAGACTGAAATTAAAATGCTTTGGACACACTGTGTGAAGACCTAGCTCTCCGGAGGAGACTATCGGGAAGTTCTCAACTTATAACCAACCTTTAGCAACTGTTTGAAGTTACCAAGGCAGTGAAAAAAAGTGACTTTCAACCAGTCCTCATATTTATGATCATCGTAGCCTCCTATGGTTCCAGGTTCTTGGGAAGAATTCGATAGGTGAAAAAAAGTTCCAAATCCAGTCTAAACATCTGGATCACTGTGGGGCAAGCCAATAATTAAGACAGCTCTGTGGTTCATTGGGTCATCGTTTTAGATGCTAAAGGTTGGTTGTAAGTTGAGAACTTCCCGATAGTCTCCTCCAGAGAGCTAGGTCTTCACAGTGTGCCCAAAGCATTTTAATTTCGGTCTAGTGATTTGTACCTCAACAAAGAACTCTGGGTGAATTTGTTCAATGCCACATTCCTTAAGTATCCATGGTATTCTCAGCAGTCTTCTTCAATTTCAACATTCAAAATCTTCAATATCTTTTTATTTAGAGAAAGGTAGTGCAGTCTGATGCAACAAGTATGAAGATTATGTGTTAGGCTGACCATTTTTTTACCCCAATGCTGGATGGTCCCATTATATATACACATACAAGAACACATGCAGGAATGCAGCCACCAAGGATTGCGCTGATAGGTGTCCGGATCCACTTAATACACACACCCCCACCTCCTCCCCCTCATGTATACAAGCACAATCCAGTCAAGGAAAGTCAGACAGATCCCGAAATAGAACTGGAAAGGATGACAGACACGAGAGTAAGTGAGCAGAAACAGTTAACTCACGCTAGCAGACAGCGGTTGGATCCAGGAAAAAGGAAACGGCAACCTGTTTAAGAAACCAGGCAGAGAGAACGGACGGACCGGTAACTAAGTCAAGGAGCCGAGCGCAGAGCCGCCCGGCAGCATAAGAAGGACTCCCAGCAATCTTACATTACGCTCTGATGATGTTGGTAGTGTTGACCGACGAAAGCTTTTACATTAAACAGTTTTGTTTTAATACTATCCTGGTGTTCGGATTGTTTTATGGTATATACATATACATACATACACACACACACACACATATATATATATACATATATTATCTTTAATTACACTCAAGTATATACATATATATACTTCTAATAACACTAAAACTAAAACCGTGACTCCTGGGTGTGATCATCTTCAAAAAACCAAACTGTGAGCACCAGGAGTATATCAAACTAAAAAAGTTTAATAACACAAAACATAAAACATAACTACACCAAGCTTTCGTTGGACTCCTTCCGACATCGTCAGGGTTACGTGCCAGTCCATGGGAGAGTCGCAAGGCCACAGGCAGAAGCAATTAATAACATCACGCACGTAGGCAGGGGAGGCAGAAGATTAGCTACCGGTGTGAAGACTGCAATTAAAGCGCAACCCAATCGCCTGGGGCCGGTGATGAGGTCCAGGAGCCGGGCGCAGATGATGGGTGGCTTATAAAAGGGACTCTCCCATGGACTGGCACGTAACCCTGACGATGTCGGAAGGAGTCCGACAAAAGCTTGGTGTAGTTATGTTTTATGTTATTAAACTTTTTTAGTTTGATATACTCCTGGTGCTCACAGTTTGGTTTTTTGAACATATATATACATATATATATGGGCACACGTGCTGTTGCCCCAGCCCCGCCTCTCCCCACGGCCCCCTCCTCACTAGCAGACTCCCGGAAGAGAGCAGCACAGCCAAGGACATGGCAGCCGGGCAACGGGGAGAAGACTCCGCTCTTGTGCCCCATCACACGCAGATTATGCTGCTGGGCGTGGGCGGAGGGCATGGCCACCATGGTGCTACAGGGCCACCTGGGCAATCTGCTGCGGCAGGCCATGGCAATCTGCTGCGGTGGCCCTGCAGGTGGGCAGGGTGGGGGGTGGAGCAGGGGTGGTGGAGCAGGGGCGGGTGGGGTGGAGTGGGGACGGAGTGGGCGGGGCGGTTTTTGGGCACTCGGTGTCTAAAAGGTTTGCCATCACTGATATGTAACAACGATAGTGGGAGTGACTTCCAACTTCCTGCTGGCCTCCCCATTGAATTAGCTTGTGTGAAGCTGGCAGGGAGCATTGGAAATCACGATCACATAACCACAGGAATGCTGCAAAGGACAGAACTTTGTGAATAAATCCAGCAAATTTTACACTGTAAATTTTATACAAATTTCAATCCCAGAGGTGTAATGGATCCTGGATTTTTATGCATTCTTTAAGTTCCCGGATTTTAGATATCTTGATTCAAAAACTGCTTGGGCTAACATGAGAGAACAAACAGATAAACACAATGAGAGTTTCAGTAGTACATACATTATTATATTAATAAATATGCCTGTATTTATATTTGTGAACGCCAGGACAATTATCCAATTAATCAGGGTGACTACTTATTCCTTACCAGTTCCTTCTGAGTATCAATCACAGCCAAGGATGCATTAAATGAGGAACAGGACCTTAAACTGAGAGACCAATTCTTTTCTTCTTTTGATATATAGAGACATTTTCCACTGTATCTAATCCATGAATCTGGACAGGCAACACTTTCAAGGGGACGACAAGGTGGACATGTTTCTGTCTTTTTAACTAGAAATAAAGCAAAATGGACAAATTATAGAACTCATAATCAACTAGAGGTCTGACAACAAGGTTTGAATAGTTAATATTAAGCTACCTCACTTAAATTGTTGTGTGTTCTAGTCCTGGGTTAGACACAAACCCCGGTTGATTGACCTTGGGCCAGTCACCATCTCTCTCTCAGGCCTGAGGAGGAAGAGGAGGCAGGGACAAACCACTTCCAAAATCTTGCCCCAGAAATGACAGGGACTAGTCCAGGCAGTTGTTAGCAGTCACAATTGACACAAAGGCTACCCACTCACCCACCTACAGCAAAAACCTTATACAGGTAGCCCTCCACTTACAAAAATCCATTTAGTGACCATTTAAAGTTACAACAGTACTGAAAAAAGCGACTTATGTCAATTTTTCCCACTTGCGACCATTGTAGCATTCCCTTGGTCATGTGATCAAAATTTGGATGCTTGGCAACTGGTTCATATTTAAGATGGTTGCAGCATCCCAGGGTCACATGCTCAGCTTCTGCGATCCTTCTGACAAGCCAAGTCAGTGCGGAAGCTAGAGTCACTTAACAACCATGTTACTGACTGCTGTGACAAGAAACATCGTAAAACGAGACATGTTCTGGATCAGCCAGTTAGATGAGAACTGTATGTTAGAATGTTTGGCATTTATAGGGTTAAGCGCTGTCTCCTTAAGAGATGGCTTATGGGTAATGTAGTTTAGCTATTCAGTAAATCCCATGTTAACAGGTCAGTAGGAGGGGCTACTAAGTTCATCACAGGATATCCTGGCTACGTGCCAGTTTGGGAATGTCTTTGTCTGAGATAAGCATGGGATCACCGGAGGACACACACGGTCTTAATTCATGCTAGAAGTTGATGTGTAGGAATTAATGATTTTACCTATAAAGATGAACAAATATGCAACATCCAGATGAAACTACAGAAACATGAGTACTGACCAAGTATTCCTGAATAAATATTTGTTTTACAATCATCTTTGTTGAGTTATCTGTCTGACCTTGGATTACAAAGCATCTTGATTCAGGTTCCAGAACAGTAAAATCATTAATTCCTTCACATCAACTTCTAGCGTGAATTAAGACCGTGTGTGTCCTCCGGTGAATTTTTCCCACTTGCAACCATTATAGCATTCTCTTAGTCATGTGATCAAAATTTGGATGCTTGGCAACTGGTTCATATTTAAGATGGTTGCAGCATCCCAGGGTCACATGATCAGCTTCTGTGATCCTTCTTACAAGCCAAGTCAGTGGGGAAGCTAGAGTCACTTAACCATGTTACTGACTTAACCACTGCAGTGACAAGAAAGATCGTAAAATGGGACAAAACTCACTTAACAAATGTCTCACTTAGGAACATAAATTTGAGGCTCAATTGTAGTCCTAGGTTGTGCAATAAAACAAGAGAAAGGGTCAGGAATGAAAAGTCATTAAATCAAATGCAAATTTGTTTATGTTGGAACGTGCTATCTTCTTCCTTTCCTGAGAGCCATGGTGGCGCAGTGGTTAGAATGCAATATTGCAGGCTGATTCTGCCGACTGCCAGGAGTTCAATCCTGACTGGCTCAAGGTTGACTCAGCCTTCTGTTTAGAGAGGGCTGTAAAGCACTATGAAGTGGCATACAAGTCTAAGCACTGTGAAGCGGTATATATAATCTGCTATTGCTATATCTATATTGACTTGCCCTAACTTTTACATAGCAATCTTCCCTTCCTGCAGCATTTGTGTCAAAAAAATCCAGATGGCAATCACAGCAGTGCAATACCATTCTTGCCTTTTTTTTGATATGCAGGCAACATATGAAATATTTACAAATAGTCTGGGATTCAACTGGGATTCAATTGCACTGGCCTAAAGATCATTTTGACTTATTTGACACTCACCACTCCTAATTGTTGCTAGTTCCTTCCAAATCATTCTGTGCCTTAAATGTAATCATTAATGCATGGGATGATCTTGATTTAAACAATAACAATAAAACAACGGAGAAAGTTAAATCCTTACTTACCAGCCAATGAAATTATAATAATGGTCAAAGCTGCAATTACAACAACCGCTCCTACAGTGAATAGTTTGTCTGAAATGCACTTAGGTATGAGAGCTGAAAAACAGGCAAGAAAATATTAGGAGATGAAGTTCATGGTTTTATTATGATTGTTCAATTTTTTGTTAATGTTTTCACTGATTTATAAACCACTCAGGGTTGTAGTCAGACGATAGCATATTTAGATTTTTGTGGTCCAACTTGCAAACTGCTGACCCCACCATGGATAAACCCTGATAAACCTTGAATATCCCTCATCTTCCTCCCCTTTTTTCCACAAGGAAAAACAAAAGGCAGTCAAAAGTGCTTCCAAGGAGCCCCAGAAGCACAGCTTTGGTGGGGTTTTTTTCCTGTTTCTTTCTCCACAGAACATATGAAGTGGCTCTGGAGTGGCTAACAGCCAAATCCTTCTTGCATTTGTGGGAGACACAAAGCCAATCTCGATCCCATTGCTCTTAAAATGCCCAAGAGCCCTGCTAGAAGAAAAAGCTGACAACACTCGGGAGAGTGTCATATTCAAGTCCTAAAAGTGATATTACAACGTAGTTCAAATGTAGGACAGCACAGTGAAAAACAGAGTGTGCCACCCCAACTTCCTCATCTTCTGCAACAGCATTACAAAAATTAACCTGATCTTGTTCTTTTGAGACAAAGGTATCAACATCAATTCCTTTCCCCTCGGATGGATGATCTCTCCCCATCCCCTATGACCAAAAGTGAACTGGAAGGGTTTCTGCCCTGGAAATGGGAAACACCCACCAAGGTGATGTGGGAAACCCACCAAAGGTACAGTGTTGGCCTTAAAGTCAGTTTTGTGTGAGGTTCTCCTTTTCGAAAGAAGGCGCAGACCCAATGTCTTCTCCATAAAACTAGGGGGGGGGGGGGATAAAGAATCCTTTTACTTAGGTGTGGCACAGTTCTACCCACTTTGTTTTATTATTCACCCCTCAAAGGTAACAAAGGGCCCCAAGGCAGGTATTCACCTTTGTTTTGACCAGCATTTCTTGAACTCTTTGCATCAGAGCTTCCAGGGGAAGATGCACTTGTCATCTCAGGAGACAAACAATCACAGTATCGAGAAACTCCTTCTACCAGTACTGGAAGGCAGAAGACAATACAGGGAAGATGCAGTTGTCACCTCAGGAGTCAAATGATAACAACACCCAGAATCTCCTGCCCCTAAAGCAAGGGTAAGCAACCTTGGCTCTTTTATGACTCGTGGACTTCAACTCCCAGAATTCCTGAGCCAGCATGGCTCAGCTTGGAAACCTCTCCCTTTCCCCTCAGCATGGCTGGCTCAGGAATTCTGGGAGTTGAGGTCCACGAGTCATAAAAGAGCCAAGGTTGCCGACCCCTGCCCTAAAGGAAGGCAGAAAACCCCAAGAATAACAATGCACAGTATATTGTGCTCTAGTTTTGCTCTTGGGAAGACACTGCCCCCAATACCCAACCAGGGCTCCTTATCTTTTCTCAGTCAAAACAATTTAAATAAATATTTTAAGTAGTTGAAACCTATCCCCAAATCTTGCACTGCTGAATGTTCCCAGGCAGAATTCAAGGGGACTGGCAAAAATCTCACGAGAGTTGATCATCTTGCAAGATTTCAGGTGATTATATTAGGGGCGGTGCCTATGTCATAGGATAAAAACGGGCCTATATCTGGAGTATTTCCATTGGGTTTTTTTGGTACACATTGGAAGACCTCCTTGCTTTTGCACAAGAATATCTATCTATCTATCTATCTATCTATCTATCTATCTATCTATCTATCTATCTATCTATCTATCTATCTATCTATCTAATCTATCTATCTATCTATCTATCTATCTATCTATCTATCTATCTATCTATCTATCTAAAACTAACACTCCACATGGAATCCCAAGTATGATAGTCTCTGATTTAGTGAGCTTCTTAAAGCTTAGAAGACCATCTGGAAGAATCCTCTCAAATGTTCTTCCTGGTTCATCAGATTTAGAATATTTGCTTCCAATACATCTCTTACAAGGAGAAGCAAGGATGACTGAAGAAAACAATCCTGCTGGTAACCAATTCTCTTACCAGTTCTCCTGATTTCTAACTTGAATCCAGTCAATCCCCAGATTGAAACTTTTTTTTAAAATAAATTATTAATACAAAATTAAAAACACATTGGACATAGATATGATGTCACTGGTTCCATACATCTTCCGACATTTTACAATAGTATTAGTACTCATATAGACATGTAGTTCTTGAGCTTTGCTCACTATTTATAATATATCAACACTTTTCCCCTTATTTCTGTATATCTATTTATCTTTTAAATATACATTTGTCTATAATCTATATTTTATTCTAACACTCTACATTTGTCTTGGCTACCCTCTTATTGTCTATCCAATCATAAAATTGTTCCCAGATTTTGTAGTACTTAGTTTCACTTTTATCCTTGAGTTCCCGTGTAAGTCTATCCATTTCAGCGCAATTGAAAATTTTCAGTAATATTTCCTCTTCGGTTGGAGTAGCTTTCTCTTTCCATTTTTGAGTGAAGGCTATTCGTGCCGCTGTTACTATATGCAGTAGTAAACAATTTGTATCTTTCTTATATTTTCTTTCTATAATTCCCAATAAAAAAAATTCCGGTTTGGCCTCTATATCTATTAGCAAAATTTCTTCCAGCCATTTCTTTAATAAGTTCCAAAATTTTTGTGCCTTTGGGCATTGCCACCACATGTGGTAGTAATTCCCAACGGTCTCTCCACACTTCCAGCAGCCCAGATTGAAACTTTTACCCATCCAAGTTTGCTTTTTTAACTCATGTCTGCCTTACTTATTGTGATTCCTCTACTTAGAATAGAAATCGATTTTTTTAGCCATATAATCAATAAGAGTTTTCCTCTGATCTCATCAGTGTCCTTGCGCTTTGTTTTTGCTTTCTGTAATTCTCAGCTAGGTGAAAGAAAGATCTGAAATACCTCACCTTTAATTTCTTCTGGCATCTTCCAAGCTGATGGGGGAAAAAATCAGGATTCAGACTGCATGGAAAGAAAAGAAATTGGTATCACTCATTCCTATATACAATATTGTTGACATACAAGATTTAATATAAACATTAATTGTAAAGACCAATTAATAACAACAGGTATCAGAATCAGCCTTAGTACTGACAATGAACATATGGACGTGATGGGACAGCTTCTGCCTTTTAGGATTGACCATTAATAAAAAAGGAACAAGCAGTCAAAAAATTAACCAGAATAGGGCTTGGTAGAAGAGACATCAAGGCCGCATAAAAATAAAACAAGAAATCAATTTCTAGGACATTATTTGGAGGGATTAAGCATCAAGACTGTTAAAAGTAAAAGGAAAGTAAAAGTTGGTTTATTCGATTAAGGTTAGATGTTATCTTTGGTAACCTTTAATGTACTTTTGCTAACCTGATTGGGTGAAGAGGTTTTAAAGATTTGTTTATAGAAAAGAGATGAGATACGGGAAGAAGAGATCTTTGGTTGAAATGTTAGAGAAAGTGATAATTTACTAAAACTGTTTATACTTGTTATGGAGAGGGAAGTCATTTCTTTCTATATTTTCTTCTTTCCTTCCTTCTCTGCCCTTCTTACTTCCTTTTTATTTATTTTTAGTTTGGTTTTATTTCTTAACTCTAACATTCAATAAAATTATTACAAGAGTTTAAAGGAAAGCTATTTTTTCTCCACCGCAATAAGGAGTCCTCACAGTCACAATGCCCTCAGAGTCACAAAGTGTTGTGCTTCTTCACGCTGCCTACAGCAGGAATCCTATCACAGGACTACAGAACACACCTAGTGTACTCACCAAAATGTACTAAACTAGTTCTACATCATTCCACCACAATATCCTTAGCATAGGTGTGTCCCAAATTAGTGCACACCCTGCTTGGAAAATAAAGCCTGCAAACACGGAAAACCCCTGCACAAATTCTAGTCTCTCCAATGTGAAGCTGTTGTTGGAAAACAACCCTTAGGCAACGGAGACTGGCATGCTTCTGCACAAGCCTCAAAAGGGTGGGGGGTGGGGGGCATGCTTTATGACCATTTTTAAAAAATGACCAGTATCTCCATGGTCACATGATCAAAATTCAGACATTTGGCAACTGACTCACATTTATGACGATTGCAGTGTCCTGGGGTGATGTGATTGATCCCTTTTTGCGACCTTCTGAGAAGCAAAAGTCAATGGGGAAGCCAGATTCATTTAGCAACCGTGTTACTAACAACTGCGGTGACTCGCTTAAGAACTGTGGCAAGAAAGATTGTAAAATAGGGCAAAACTCACTTAACAAAGGTTTCACTTAGCAACAGAAATTTTGGGGCTCAATTATGGTCTAAGCTGAGGACTATCTGTAATGCAAAAATCTCGGAGGCTGAATTATTGTCCAGGCCAATGGTTCTCAACCTGTGGGTCGGGACCCCATTTGGGGTCGACGACCATTTCATGGGGGTCGCCAAGCAAGGCTGTCCGCCATTTTTTTGTCCGCCATTTTTTTTGTCCGCCATTTTTTCCCCCTTTTCCAGCGGGTGCCTTACCTCCCTTGGGCTGGGCCAGCTGGTGGTCGGCCCGCTCCGTCTCTGCCGCTTGCCAGCTATGCCTCGGCCGGCGCAGGGGGCAGAACCACGCATGCGTGGCGCTCCCTGGCAGGGAAAGTCCTCAACTTACAACCGGTTGGGTAGTCCTCGACTTACGACCGGTTTAGTCCTCGACTTACGACCGGTTTAGTCCTCGACTTAGACCGGTTGGGGTCGCGGCATTAAAAAGGTTGAGAACCACTGGTCCAGGCAGCCCATTCAGCCTCGTTAGGCTGAGCCAGAAGCCCACCCACACTTGCATAATTATCCCACCTCTTCCACAGTATTTACTCCCAGTCCCGGGAGAGAAGCAACCCACTCTGGCCTCCACATCTTGCAACTGTTCATGCTGCCACGGTAATCCACCCCTCCTTCCANCTTGGCACAAGAGAAGCGAGCACTCCGTAAAGCCAGAGCTGCAAATGCTGAAGCAACAGTGTCCACATTTCTCTGTTCAGTATGTGGCAGAACATTCCGTGCTAACATCGGTCTCATCAGCCATCTACGGACACACCGTTGATGGCCCACAATCCACAAGATGTCAAGGTCTTCATCGAAATCGATGGACGAACAACAACAGAGGCCTCCTCGAGGTTTATCTGTGCTCTCAAGATCACCTGATGAATGCAAATGTGGTGCCTTCTTGAAACTGTTGAAAGGACTGTGTTGTAGATTAGAAATAGACCATGAAATTCTTCCATTCCCCACCATCCATAGCGGAAGAAGATTTTTGGATGAGAAGCGAAACGTCTTCAAAAAAAAAACCCAATAAAGTCCAGTTGCCTCGTGAACAAGCACTTTTGGGACAACCGTGACCTGGATGACTGAGAATCCCCATAGATCACCCCTACCTTCTTTCCTGTTGCGCTTTGCCCCAAATTTGACAGCCCTCCGCAGTTGCTGCTTTTTACTCCTGGCGTGTCGCCAGCAACAGATCACAAAGCGGTTAACAACGGTAGCGAGAGAGAAAAAAAAAACCGGCAGGTAAATTTATTTGCCTCTCCCTTGCTCCGGTCTGCGCATAAAAATGCTTGGTCGCCTCGCAGGGCACGGCAGAAAAAAAACGCGAAGAAATTCCTCCGCGCCACGATCGCGGCTGGCCTTCCGAGGACCGCGAGGGAAGCTTCCCCGCCCTAGGCAGACCCAGAGCTCCACCTGAGCGTGCAGCGCCCGAGAGTTTCTTGCCTCTGCCCGCGTTTTGCAGCGTTGAGCCTAAATAACAGCCGGCCGGACTGGCCAGCAAAAGGGCAAAGTGGAGCCCGCCGAGCCCGGCCATACTGGAGAAACAGCCTCCCGCGATATATTTTTTTTCGTCGTCGTCGTCGCCACCGCCCCCCCCCATCCAACCAAATCGCTGTGGCCAATTACAAAAAGCGGACGACTTTGTCCGCAAGGCAAACCCCAGGCCAACCGCACAAAAAACAACAACAACAACAACGTAGAAGCAAAGTTGATTCCGGAACTTTGTTCCACTTTAAGACGGGCGGACTTCAACTCCCAGAATTCCCCGGTCGAGAGGCTGCTCAGATTGACAGAGCCCAAATCACCACCCGCCTTAAGTTTGTTTGAGGATCCTTTTTACAGCTCTTTTGGGTCCCCACAGTACCTCCACAAGGCCAGTTCCCTCGCACGCCCGAGATTGTTGGCGCTACGGAGGGGGGGTCGATTCTTTGCCACCGGTGCCGACAGAGGGGAGGAGAGCTTGTATGTCTTCCAAGTGGAATGGCTGTCTCTCGGCGAGATCGCTGGCAGGCAACCCTGTATTATCTGCCTCTTATAAGGTGTGGCCGAGGGATGAGCTGGCTAGGTCTAGACCCAATCCAGGCAGCCCGTTCAGTCTTGTTAGGCTTCAAAATCTTGCAGCTGTTCCGGCTAAAAAAAGGTAATCTGCCCCTCCTTTCCTTCCAATTGCCCAGCGGCCAGTCTCGCCCCCCCCCCCTTTCTTTTTGCTCCAGGTTTCCCGCAACAGATCGCACGGTGGTTAAGGCGGCTAGCAGGAAAATGCTGCTCGGTGAAGGAACTTACTCGTTCCCCCCCCCCCCCCCCGCTGGTTCAGGCCTGCCCATAAAAGGCGCCGCCGCATAATGGAGCGCAGCATTAGGGACGCGGGGAAGCCAGGCGGCAGCTTCCTCCGGCGTCAAGAGCGGGGCTGGCTTTTCGAGGACACTTGAATTTAATAGTGAACTCAGAGAGCATCAGTGTGATAGAAGCCAAACAGACCTGTTGAACAAACACAAAATGAACCATCTCCATCTACTTGCCGTTATATTTCATTTACTGACCATCTTTTATCCCTTTTGTAACACGTTGGTTAGTTAGATTTCCAGATGTTTTCTTTTCCGAAGGAATAGTTAGAGAAATAAAAATGATGATTGGCACCTTGTGTTTTACTAGATCTCAGCTTCTTCACCTTTTCTTCTCCTGGATCCAGAGGCTTTATCTCCCCATCCACACTCAGCCATCTCCCCAACAAACAAACGATAAAAGGATTGGTGTAGTTCAAAAGCTGCACTTTCGAATGGCTTAAATTCTTTTTTTATATATACATTGATTTTGTTTTATCAATAAAAATATAATACAAACTGGAAAAACAAAGCAAAAATACATCCAGCACTAATAGCAACAAAAAAGAAAAAAGATTGCTGTATGAAAAAAGGGGAAAAAATAACCCAAGTATCAAATAAATTTAACATTAAATATATAGAATCCACCCAGGCTGGATGCTGAAAAGAAAAATAGATGATTTCTCCTCCCTTTTACATAGCAGATCTATAAATAGTTATAAACTTTCCCATCCCTATTTAAACATCATGCCCCCCCCCAAACATTCTCAGCACGAAGTGTATTTCCAAGCCGACTCTCCTCTCCCTCAAAGGCAAAGAAACTGCGGCAGAGAGGAGACAGATCATTGCAAGATAAATGAGTCTTGTGTGGCAGGAAGGGAGGGGGAAGATAAGATAATCTTTATTGTCATTTTTTACTGTGGGCACAACGGCACACATCAAAAATGAAATTTAATTGCTCACTCTCAAAGTGAAACACATACATGACACAGGATCGCCAACTTGATCGCCAACGTCCGATAACGGATATGGCACAAGAAGAAGAAGAAACATAAAGTGTCAACGGGTGAGCCTGAGTTGTGTTTTGGGAGTTTATAGAGGCATTCAATTATAGTCCCACTGTTTGAGCCACATAAATATTCTGGGAAAACTACTGGATGCCATGAATTATGGAAAGCTGTTGGAAAGCACGGAAAGACTAGAAAGGACACAATATCAAAGAAGGACTTACATGACTACAACTTGCTCTTGTGGGAAGTCAACCCCCCCCCAGAGAAGGAAATATTAAAAGGGCAGAAAAAAATATATTTCCTCAGGATCTTGAAGAGGCAGGAAAGCACGCCCAGTTTTCTTAATAGCCCCAAGTCTGCCTCCTCCAAGCAGAAACCAGCTCTATAGAAGTGCAGATGCAGACCATTCAAGAAAGTTGGAGCTAGAAGATTAAGACGACAAAGACCTAAAATCTGCATACCTCACCCAAACTCTTAAGAGTCATTTGCCCAGCCCCAGGGAAGCAGGATATAACCTTTGGGACATAATAGGATTAAACCACAGATACCAAGGCCCAGAAAAGCACACTCAGACCCAGTTCAAAGTTCATGCCACAGGAACAGGAAACAGCTCAAAACAAAAGGCTTCAGAGGGTATAAAAAACCCACTCCCTACATGTGCTCACTCCTCTTTTCTGCCAGAGCCATCTTCCTGTCTGGCTCTCCTCTCCAATAAACTACAACCTTCTTCCCAAAGCAGTTGCCATGTTCATTCCCAGCTTGGATGAACCAGGATGAAGATTTTTCTTCCAACACTGTTATGCACTTGTACATGCTGCATGGTGGCACCTCTGCTTGCTGCCGCCCTGCAGCATGTCCAGATTGCCTGCCTTTCCCCCCCCCCCCCGCCTCTGCTTGCAGGGTGATGGAGGAGCTCTCCCTTGGGCGTCTCCCACTTTCTCCTCCCTCCTCCTCCTTTGAACAGCTCTTCGTTCCCGTTGCTGCTTTTTCAGTCCCCGAGTTTTGTCCAGAGCCTGTGCAGAGGGTGTTTGGAAATGAAGCCCTGCAGCGATCAGGTGGATGGGAACCATTCCCTTCACTTTTGGACTGGCTCAGAAATGGCCAGACTATCCTGCATTCATATGCCTCCAATCCCTTGCTTGCTCCAATCCCTCCAATCTGGCTTTACAGCAAGCAAGGGGATTGGAGGCACATGAATGCACGATAGTCTGGAATCTAAAAAAAAACCAACAGGGTTTTTTTTCCCCGTTCCTGGATTTTTGCTGCCAGACTGTTTAGCTTTCTTTCAAGTTTTCGTGATGCAGAATGTGGATCCTTCCCGTTCTGCATCAAGTTAAACAGTCTGGCAGTGAAAAGACAAGGGGAGCAGAGAAAAAAACCCAGTCTCACACACTGGGAGGATTTTCACTGCCAGGAGCAGGGAAAACGCCGGGTTTTTTGAGACGCCAGACTAGTGTGGAATCACATGCCTCCAACCGCCTTGCTTGCTGCAAAGCCAGATTGCAGCAAGGAAGGGATTGGGGGCATGTGAATGCACGCTAGTCTGGCCATTTCAGAGCCAGTTTTCCAAACTCAAAAAAAAATTAGGTCTCAATTCTGCCAAACTGGTGTGAACTGTCTGGATCCCACCACAGACTTCACTCCTGCATTTTACATGGTTTCTAGCAAACCCTAGAAAGAAGTAAAGAGAGTAGAAAGCTCTGAGGGAATCATATGTAGATCAACAAGATTTTTGTATTATAGTAATCGCGCCTATTCGGAACATTGAGGTCTTTTCTAAAACCATTGGGACTTAATGCATTGGCAAAATGAACTTTAATACCAATACATATTTCCCTTAATAATAATCAGTTATAGACAACTGAGGCCCTGTAGGCCAATTCTGACCTGAGGATGATCACTAGATAATTATTTTCAGCCTTTTTCAGGCTGGGATCCAGCCTTCCTGCTCTTTCCATATGGATTCTCTTCTCAGCCTGTTGTAATATAGCCACAGGAATTCATCACAACTCTTGAAGAAATGGTCAGTTGGGAAAGGAATGGGAAGATGTTGTGGTTGCTGCATCTCCTGTTTCTTCCCTTGTGACAAAGCAGTGAGAGAAAGAACCAGTCCAATTTGTGACCATGGGGCCCTCCTGGCCGAGGACTCCATTGCTGGTGAGAGCATGTGATGGCATCATGAATTCTTCTGTGTATCATGGGAAGCTTCCTTGACATTTCTTCAAATAACTTGTTGGAAACAATCCCTCCTCTTCTTCCCATCAGAATTACAGGTAATAAATATGAGCTTAATGTAAGTATTTCAGCGTGCATTAAAACATGCTGTTAGTTTGGATTCCACCTACTCTCTTTTATATTCCGCTTCCCTACATCTCTCTCAAAGGTCAAATACAACCTTCAGCTAAGAAAACTTTGCAAGCTATTCCTCAAAGCATTAATCTGTTACCACTGTTTCATTTTGGCTTCTCATGTATATATATGTACCACTCATTTCCTTATTGATGTGGTTCTGCCTACATTCTTCTTTTGACTCCTGTTAGAAAACAGTGCTCCATTGCTGAATTAGTCCACAGTTGACTTCGCGCAGAAGCCACTCAGATACATTTTCCAATCAGGGATTTAAGTTCATGAACGTGTAATATTGCTGCCAGAGCTCATATTTCAAGTTTATCTTTGAGTACTTGAAAATGAAGGCTAGATTGCATATTGGTGACAGATGTTTTCAGCATTATACGGGCTGAGATCAACATTATACGGAAGGAGAACCTGCCATTCCATTTCCTTCTTCCTAGTTACTCCTCCCAGCTTTCTGTACTAAGTTCAGAATACAGAATACAGAGTTGTGAGGGAGTTGAACGGATTCTAAATTGGATAAATGGATGAATGGATGAATGAATAAATGAATGAATGAATGAATACAGAAGCTTTATTTATGCTCATGAATGTGTCTGACCACTTTTCAAATCGTCTTGACTGATGGCATCAGGTTTGGCACCAATGAATTCTATGCTTGGAAGAATAATATATAGCATGAAAAGCTATTCTCTTTCTTACATTCATACAGAAAACATGTTGGAACACCAAATGCCTAAATTGCAAAAGTACATCTGAACCAGCCAAGCATGTCCTGTCAGCCATTTTATTTCTTAGGAAGATGCTCTGTGCAAGTTGAGACTTGACAAAGAAGCTGTAGGTGGCATGAATTTAAAGTTGATTTAATTAGGTTCTGAATATGAGAGACCAGGAGCATTTTGACTTTGTGGTTTGGGCACCTATGAGAAGAACAGGAAGAAGGAGGTCTATACCAAAGAAACAACGGCTTTTGTTGACTGGAGTGTAGACACTCCTCCCTGTAACAGTCCTTTCTACAATGTAGGTGAAGGATGTGGATGATTAATCTACAGATCCCTATTAGGAAATTCCCTATGTGATAATGATAATAATTGTCCAACGCACCTTATCAGCTTAATTAGCCATGACATGGGAAACAAAACAAGAGGACTCCAATATCCCTCTCACAGTTACTGTTTTTGTGCCAGGTCTCGCCTTCTCTGTCTTATACCTTTGGTTTTTCCTGCCTAAATGTAAAACTTTTTATGTTTAAAATGTAAAATGTTAAGTGTAAAGATGGATCATTTGGCTTATAACTAAAATCTATTTGGCATGTATCAAATCCAGATGTGCCATGAGAGATTACGTCACACATGGGCTTCTTCAGTGAATTCCAGTTAAGCCAGGACCTTCCCTCTTTTGATGAGGTTATCTGATACAACTTTGTGGATGGCTGCAGAGAAAACGTTTCTCCAGGGAGCATACGGTACTATCGGCCCCTTTTCCGTTTACATAGGCACAGAAGCCTTCTCCTCCCACTGGAAACCTGCAAAAAAGACAAGGAGTTACTATCTGCATGAGAAGAAATTATCACTGCAGGAAGGATCCTTCGAGGAATATTCCCAGTTTTAGAGTATAGGGAACAGCGGCCAACAATGTGCCTCCAGGATGCAGTAGATCAACTTGATTATGAAGTCTGGAGTTTATAGAAGTTTTGTCCAATAAACGTGTCCGGAGGATACATGACTGTGAAAAGCTGGAGTACATATAAATACACACATGCACACACATAAAGCAGGAAGTATCCATTTTCAGGCATCTGGAACAACTGCACAGCATATGATGGTCATATCCTCAACTTCACAGAGGAGTAAAAGTCTCGCTTGGCAAGCATAAATGACATGATACGTGAAACATGGCAGCTATTTCTACTTTCTGTTATGAGAAGAGATTCCAGAATGTTTTTAAACCACCAATGGAATCTAGAACCTGAGAGACAACTAGCCAAATCTTAATGAAACTTATGTCTGTCCCAGAAATTGTTCTCACAACTCCCTTTACACTTTAAATCTGAATATTACAAGCTATGAACACTTCCCAAATAATAGCAATTTGGTTAAGATATATTTGGTTTCCATATTTTTGCCCTGAGTCATTTTGGATAGCGAGAAGGGCCTCATATAAGTTAGAGGAATAAAGGGATAAATACCGAGGGAGCATATATGATTTTGATTTTGATTTGATTTGATTTTATTAAATTTGTACCCCGCCCTTCTCCCGGAGGACTCAGGGCGGCTTACAGCCAGTTTAAAACAATAGTACAGTGCAATACAAAATTTAAAAAGATTTAAAAATAACTATTCAGATTTGGCTGCTTCTACTAAAAATTTAATTTAAAACCCCTTTAAAATACCCCTAGGCCAGTCCTGCCTGCTGAAATAACCAGGTCTTAAGGGCGCGGCGGAAGGAGGGGAGATCCGGGATCACCCGGATCTCTGGGGGCAGCTCGTTCCAGAGGGTGGGTGCTCCGACAGAGAAGGCTCTCCCCCTGGGGGTCGCCAGCC